CAAGTCTGTTTACCAGTATTTATTTGGAGATTTTAATGAGGCAAGGAGAGAATTAAGAACAGCTAACACTTTCAAAACAGAAATTTTATGAAATTTTTCAAAATTATTCTTTGTAATAATTGGCTTGGTCTTAATTCAAAATTTTCAAAGATTTCAAAATATGAACCTCAAATGTATGCCTTTGATTCATTCTCCAATCCAAAATAGCCGAAATTAAAACTAAAGATACACCATAGTTATTGTTTACATGGCAACAAATTTGGCTGTGCCTGATTTTTTATTTCCATTTTTTTTACTGGTTAAGCCATGTACATGTTCAATTGCTAAATTGAACAAATTTATTATTAATGAATTCAGTCATTATCAGTGTTTAGAGGAATGACAGTTGCTGTCACTATGACCACTGCTGTCACTAGTCAAACAAGCAGCCTATCGGCTGAGATAGCTCTGTTGTTAGCAATACACATTTCAATTAAAGAACTAAAGATATCATTAAAATGAACAGCATGTATAGTATCAAAGCAATCAGACTTACAGTTTTTAACAAGAAGTCGAAAATATTACTTTTCACCAAATATAACAAAAATATTCATCAAAATTAGAAAATTGAAGATATCATCATAAAATAAGCAAATTTGAGAGAAGACTATCTGTAGTATACCTTTATGTATAATATCAAAGCAATCAGACTTGCAGTTTTTAACAAGAAGTTGAAAATATCACTTTTTACCAAAAATGACCAAAGCAGTCATTTACAGCATGGCATTCAAAGCAGTCATTTACAGCATGACTTTCAAAGTAGTTATTTGCAGCATGGCATTAATGCAGTCATTTGCAACAGGACTTTCAATGCAGTTATTTATAGCATGACTTTCAAAGCAGTCATTTGCAGCATGGCGTTCAATGCAGTAATTTGCAACATGACTTGCAAAGCAGTCATTTACAGCATGGCATTCAATGCAGTCATTTACAGCATGACTTTCAAAGCAGTTAATTACAGCATGGCATTCAAAGCAGTTAATTACAGCATGGTATTCAAAGCAGTTAATTACAGCATGGCATTCAAAGCAGTTAATTACAGCATGGCATTCAAAGCAGTCATTTACAGCATGACTTTCAAAGCAGTTAATTACAGCATGGCATTCAAAGCAGTTAATTACAGCATGGCATTCAAAGCAGTTAATTACAGCATGGCATTCAAAGCAGTTAATTACAGCATGGCATTCAAAGCAGTTATTTACAGCATGGCATTCAAACCAGTCATTTACAGCATGGCATTCAATGTGGTCATTTACAGCATGGTATTCAAACCAGTTATTTACAGCATGGTATTCAAACCAGTTATTTACAGCATGGTATTCAAACCAGTTATTTACAGCATGGTATTCAAACCAGTTATTTACAGCATGGCATTCAAACCAGTTATTTACAGCATGGCATTCAAACCAGTCATTTACAGCATGGCATTCAAACCAGTCATTTACAGCATGGCATTCAAAGCAGTCATTTGCAGCATGGTATTCAAACCAGTTATTTACAGCATGGCATTCAAACCAGTTATTTACAGCATGGCATTCAAACCAGTTATTTACAGCATGGTATTCAAACCAGTTATTTACAGCATGGTATTCAAACCAGTTATTTACAGTATGGCATTCAAAACCAATTATTTACAGCATGGCATTCAAACCAGTTATTTACAGCATGGCATTCAAACCAGTCATTTATAGCATGGTATTCAAACCAGTTATTTACAGCATGGTATTCAAACCAGTTATTTACAGCATGGCATTCAAACCAGTTATTTACAGCATGGCATTCATAACATATTATAACATTTGAAGTTGTGAGTAATATAAGGAAATAATGAATAATGAGGAAAACTGGATACTTACGTCTCAGTGGCTAATTTATCAAAATCAATGACAACAGGTTGGCAGTGACTTGTATTCGTGGCATTTGAACTTGTATGCCTTATCTGAAATAAAAAATAATTATTTAATTAATAATTAATTAGTCAGTCAGTGTGACAAAACAGCAATATCGCTAAAAGTTCAACACCACAGCAATATCAAATAATTAACAGAAGAAACAACATTACACTTACTTACCTCAAGTTGTTCTGTGAATTCTGTAAATTTCTGGCAGTTATTAATAATTGCTATCTAGAAATTAAACAAAATTAACAGTAATGATTTGTAATATCAAAGTTATTAGCTAAAAATACTGCAAACCTTTAGTATATGGTTTGATATGCTAGTCAATGGGATTTCACCAAACTATAAAAATTTCTAAAATTTTAAAGCAGTTTCTAATTAGAAAACATGAAACAGGGCATCATCCTGAAATGAAAAAATCTCGGAGAGGTTCACATGTAGTACCTATATATGTAATATCAAAGCAATCAAACTTTTTTTTAACAAGAAGACGAAAATATCACTTTTAACCAAAAAATGACAAAAATATTCACCAAAATTAGAGAATTGAAGATATCATCATGAAATGAACAAATATAAGAGAGGTCTGCTCAAGGTACATATACACCAAGTATCAAAGCATTCAGACTTGTAGTTTCCAAGAAGAAGTTGAAAAAGTAAAAAAGTTGATGTGGACGACGGGCAATCACTCATATGATAAGCTCCAGCGGAGCTAATAAAAGTGAGCCCTGGAACTAGGATATAACAATTACAGATACAGTTCTTTCATTTACAAATAGTTTCTTGTTAGTGGCAGTATTGATATATGTAAAATTGTCTCAATTCACATAATTTCAAAGAATTACAAACACAAACATTAGTGCTACAATGTATACACATATTTGAGACAAAACTTCCGGGTTCATTCGTGAGCCACTGCAGCCGGCGATATGCTGTAGTTTGCATGATTCTGAAAAATATAATTATATAGTTTTCATGCATCTACTTTAAACCTCAAATATCCAAAGGGTTGCTGCAATGTTCTTTATTACGCTCTATGTTCGCAACCCAATAAAAACGAATGACATATTTAATGAGTAATTGAAAATCTAGATGGAAGAAATGAATAATTTTTTTTTTTGCAGAAACACTACTCAGCAATACTACTGTAACAGTGTATCTATATATCCAAAACTAGTACCGGATTCTGTCGTAAATTCTTCCATCCGAAATTTGCCCTGGTTGGGGTTCAAAATTTCAAAAAATTATCATCAAATATTTTTGGGCGACTTGTATTTTCATTGAAAAATCCACCTACACCGACTTTCAACTAAGCTAAATCTAAAATTTTATACATTTTTCCTTGTTGAATTAAAAAGTAGATCACCTAAAATTTTATTACAGTGTCACCCAGCGCTAATTACATGTAACCAATGAAAACGAATAGCTCATTTAATTATGTTAATGTTATTGAACCTAGCACGGAAGAGATTTGCTGATGTTGTTGTACAATCTTTTGACTTGGATTTTGATGGGAAACGGGCATGATTTGTTCTTGTTGTTTTTAAAAGATAAACTGAGCATTTGAAGAATAATTTAACATAACAGAGATAACAGCTCATTGTCCAAACGAAGCTTATACCCATTCATGCTAGTCACAATAAACATCATATTCTTGAAGTACATACATGAATATGGAGAACAAAGTATGCTTGACATTGAGTAATGTTGTTTCAATCCATGAGTTTAATAAGAGTATTAAATAAATTAGATATGGAAAATTGCTTATAAAACCCATTAAATCTGAGATAATGTAACAAAATTCTCAATGCATATTAATTAGTGATTTACAAGATAACCAATCAAAATCAATTAAGCCTCTTTGCCAAATAAAATACTATGTTATGCATAAAAAACTTTTATAACATAGCACTGTAACACTTGAGAGCAAAATTTGACAGCTAGCTCTTGAGATGACATTTATGAGAGTAAAATGCAAATATAAGTGGTCAAAAGCTGATCTCAATCTATAGCAGTGCCTGACAACCACTACAGCCATGTGACAACCACTACATCCATGTGACAACCACTACAGCCATGTGACAACCACTACATCCATGTGACAACCACTACAGCTATGTGACAACTACTACATCCATGTGACAACCACTACATCCATGTGACAACCACTACATCCATGTGACAACCACTGCATCCATGTGACAACCACTACATTTGTACATCCATGTGGCAACCACTACAGCCATGTGGCAACCACTACAGCCATGTGACAACCACTACATCCATGTGACAACCACTACATCCATGTGGCAACCATTACAGCCATGTGACAACCACTACATCCATGTGACAACCACTACATCCATGTGACAACCACTACATCCATGTGGCAACCATTACAGCCATGTGACAACCACTACATCCATGTGACAACCACTACATCCATGTGACAACCACTACATCCATGTGACAACTACTACATCCATGTGACAACCATTACAGCCATGTGACAACCACTACAGCCATGTGGCAACCACTACAGCCATGTGGCAACCACTACAGCCATGTGGCAACCACTACAGCCATGTGACAACCACTACAGCCATGTGACAACCACTACAGCCATGTGACAACCACCACATCCATGTGGCAACCACTACAGCCATGTGGCAACTACTACATCCATGTGACAACCACTGCATCCATGTGGCAACCACTACAGCCATGTGACAACCAATACATCCATGTGGCAACCACTACATCCATGTGGCAACCACTACAGCCATGTGACAACCACGACATCCATGTGACAACCATGACATCCACAAGAAGTCGAAAATATCACTTTTTACCAAAAAATATTCACCAAAATTAGAGAATTGAAAATATCATGAAATTAACAAATCTAAGAGAGGTCTACCCAAGGTACGGTACATATACACCAAGTATCAAAGCATTCAGGCTTGTATTTTCCAAGAAGAAGTCAAAAAAGTAAAACATTGAAACGGACGACGACGGACACCGGACAACGACAGACAATCACTCATATGATAAGCTCCGCTCGACAAAGTTGACAGCGGAGCTAATAAAAAGTAAAAGTGAGAGTGACACATACCATATAATGTATGTAGAACTGTGGCTGGCTTCTGTCTTCAAGGTGCTTATTTTTATATTTAATTATAGCATCTGGAAAAAAACATTAATACTATAGATGCCTTGCCTAAAAATTTATAGATGAGTACTAAATGTAATCTATTAAATATTGAAAACAATATTTTACAAGGAATGGCATGCTTGTATTTCAAACAATAACAAGTCATTGAAAATGACACAGTCCCCGTTAAATTTTTGAAAGTTCTCTTTGTGCTCGCCATATTAAAGCGGAGGGGTTGTCGCAAGCGTGTCCTTGAAACTTGAGTTCCAAGTAGCGTATGCAACAGATTATTTATTTACATCAAAACACATGTTCCGTTGTAGTAGTGATATGGCCAAAAATAAAAACCGCCGTTATTCGGCCATCTTTGATCTGATTATGAAACACACTGATATGTATGATGTATGTGCCAAATACGAATGAAAATGGTACATAAATTGTGGAAATATAGTAGTAAGGCCAAAAAGTCAGATGGCTGTCAATCGGCAATCCTTGACCAGATTTTGAACATGTATAAAGTACATGTATGTGCCAAATTTGAATGAAAACTGACAGAGCACGTCCAAGATACCGCATAAAAAAAAAAATCTTTGATCCAATTGTGAAATAAATCGTCATGGACATGTATCCTCACATGTATAATCTATGTACCAAGTTTGAATGAAAACTGACAAGGCATGTCCAAAATACAACATTTTCAAAAAACAAGATGGCTGCCAGTCAGCCATTTTAAATCGAATCGCTAAACCACTGCATGTGCATATGTCCCACAAATAGTACGAGGCACATGCAAAGAATGAACGGAATCGGTCCAAGGGATTCTGAGATATGACTCCGGACGGACACACAGACGTACAGGCGCACAGACGCACGGACGTACAGGCGCACAGACGCACGGACGCACGGACGGAGACCGAATTATAATAAGCAAGTGTTAGATTTTCTAAATAAAATTTTAGGGAAACCAACTGGTTTAGAAAAGTATGTACCAATAGACCTGTAAAGTTTCAGTTCATATCTTGATACATTATGACAAAAGACCCAATGTTTTTAATACATAATGTGGATACCTTGATACATCTTGACAAAGAACACAATGTTGTCAATTAAGAGGGTTGTAAAAACAAGTCCCAGACAGGCGGATTCACTAGCCCCTTGGCACGTGGCCTCTTCAAGCGAAAAGACTTAAATAGTTGTATCAAGCCAGTTTCAGTCCAGCCGAATCTGATAAAACTGGGAATAAAACTGACCGATATCCAAGAATCATCGATATAGATTTTTCTTGATCAAATAAATATAGGAAAAAAACCGGCTACCTCGCTAATAGAGAAACTGAGATGATCAATTTCCATCCAGTCACACGAATCAATGTACAGTCTCCATCTGGATTCCTACAAACGTCTTGTGCCGTCCGACTGTGCTGAAGCAAGGAACTTGGACAACTCTGCAGAAAAACCTTGCGCTTGCATGAGTTTATTGACAGCCTCCACGCATAAAGATGGAATGGCGCGAGGCTCATCCAGAAGATCCAATAACTCTACGGGTGACTCGACTAGAAGTTCCAGCAACATTGGGAACCAGATCTTCGCTGACCAATTGGGCGCCACCAAAGTCAGAAGACAGATGGGCTTGAGACGTAACTTCTCCAACACTTAGAAGGGTGGAAAGGCATAAGCGTCCATGAAACTCCAAGAGATCAATAGAGCGTCCGTAACGAAAGCGCTCGTCTCCGAGAGGAGTGACATGTACGCCGGGAGCTTGGAATTCCGGTGATTGGCAAACAGATCTATCCGGGG